TTTATTTGAATTTTAATGCATTTTCTTAAATTTGATTTTTAAATTAACTACTTAAAATTTATTTAAATTTGTACAAATGAAAACTTATTACCTGTAATTGAATTATTTAATTATACATTAATTTAATATGTTTCTTCTCCATTGTCCCTTTAGTATTTTCTCCGCCGGCACAATTAAATCTTCTCTCATCCGATGATGTATCCTGTTGAGAAATTAGGGCTAAGAAAAACAAGAATCAACACAAATCTAGAAGAACACGCAGAGATTTATTGGGTTCGGAAAAGATGTCTGCATCCTCGCGAGCAGAGCGGAGACTCCCTTTTCATCAATATTTAGAAAAGAGTACATAATACAAGATTCAGGATCTCCCTCGCCTAGGGTTACAAACATGACATATATATATATCCCCATAGTACAATATGTAATTACTTAAATTACCTTTGTACCAAACCGTGGGTGTTGCCCCCGCACCCCCAACATAATGAAACTCACTTGATTGGACAAATCATTCCGCTCCACTCCGCTCTAGCATCTGTTTTATTTATGGTATATGGCTCATACCTAACATATCCAAAGAATAATACAGTCGAAAGGCAAGTCCTAGAAAGAGAGAATATTAAACCGGTTATATATATATAAATATCATGAAAGTGTCAATCAACAAAACAAATTGTCATCATGCAGTTCTTCTCTTACGTGTACTAAATGTTAATCAAATAATTTCTTCCTAATTACGAGATGTCCGTGCTGATATAAAATATATAATGATTCAAGTAATTTGTATGACTAAACCGGATTAGAAAATGCCTTGAAAATATAACAATTAATTGAAAATTATTGAAATTGGCACAGCTGTTCACCAGAACAAGCAAAATTCTCATTGTCTTTCTGTTGAGTCATCACCAGAACGAATGAAAGTTCGCTGGTCAAAATCGTTAGTTAATCGGCGCGGTGGCTTTAATTTGTTGTTATGCTCGCGTAATGAAAGAATTTATCATTAATAATTGAGATTATGTTAGCTGCCTCGATCTCCAATATCCGTCATTATTAGACTATCATCACCTTATGTTAATTAATATTGAATATCATAACATAGATAGTCATTTGTGGTGGTGATTGTAACCCAGAAAGACATATATAAGGACTTTTGGATGAAATTTATTATTCGTAGTGGGGGATTGCCATGGGAAGCATGCACAACTGAAGGTTTTCAATGTATGATATTCAGAAAGAGTATTGTATAACATTTGAAAAAGAGAGGTGTTGTGAGTGTTGTAAGAAGGTATGCGGTTGATAAGGTAGACAATTGTATGGACAACTGTCATCCATAATTGTTGTCATAGGAAAACATTGTTAAGTCATCTCTAACAATTAATTGACATTGGTGCTCATCATCATACGAACAGCGTATGCAAAAATGGATCATAGAAATCAAACAACGTATACATTTCTTCATATGTTGTCTGTATGGAATAATCTTTCCCAATTAGGATATACTTTTGTATTATTTATATTATATTGCATAGTAGTTTAATCATGTCAATCTCACAGAGTTTTCCACTTCAATATTTTTCCATATACAATCCTTGCGACCCTTATATATCCCATTATCTTAAATAAATAAGCTAAATGACTTGCACCGAATTTAAGTCCTCAATACAAAAGTCCAAATGATAGTTCCAATGCATAATATATTAAAGCCGCATGAGAGTCCATGACATGTATTAAACATAGAAAGATGCTCCTGACATACGTTTTCGATTCATTTGACAGATTCACATCATTATTTCATATTACATCAGGATTCATGCCATCACTTTCATTTGTTACCTAACGAGGCTAACAGAAGGCGCCACGCAGCAAATTGGATAAGGTATAAATACAACTGTTATGTATTTATATCTCCAACGCTAAACAAATATACTACTTTTTCTAACTTATAAAAAGTAGATTATATCTTTTCATGCAAAAATATATAATGTTTTTAAGGTATTATTAATGTAAACAACTAATTAAACGGTTAGATATGTAAACATATAAGAATTGTTTTGTATGCATGTAAATTTCTCTTTAATATTTTTGATATAAATTTATTTTAAAAATTTTAATTATTGTATGTTAGTTTGGGCATATATAAGTAAATTTATTTATTTTTTATTAATTATGTCAATGTTTGTTAGAGTATGCATACAATTAAGAGAATAAATTAAATGTAAATTTTAAAATTTAAATATTATTAATAGTCCTCAAATGATGATAATTTAGACATTAATGATTGATTATTGTAGTACTACCTAATTTTCCTATATCGAACCCAAGTCACTTGTTATATTGACGACCTGAACAAATTCAGTAGGCTAGATCGACAGATCATTTGATAGATTAGCTTGATAGACCTGTTTGGAAAACTAGTTTGGTAGGTCAATTAGGCATATCGGCTTGGTAGAATATCATAGTGGATCAATTTGACTTCATCAACTCACTGACGAAGTGGGTTGAAAATCATACGAATGAGTAAATAAGCTACATGTTCAACTACTTCAGTCATTCTTAAACTATAGGTTTTATTATTTTTGTAGTGCAAGTTGATTTAAACCTAAAAATAGGGGAAACAATTTTAGCATGTCGGAGCATCATAAATCTATGTAAATCACTTCATACTTAATAAAATCCTTAGAGACGTTCTTCTATTTTAATTATATATTCTTGAGCCTCTCTCTCTCTCTCTTACACACACATATTTTTCACTTTTTTTAGATGATGTGTGTCCACGAAGAATTTAGAATTTAACATCCCGAAAACATTGGTATGGAGCATGCCATAGGCTTGAAGAAATTCCATAGGGAAGAACCTAGCAAGTGAAAGAATTCAATAAATACATGAGGGTACCAATGAGTTTGAAGCTCAACACATGAACAAAATAATAGAGCAAATGACGATGATGATACAAGAAGCACTAGAAAATGTACCAAGGGCATGCTTATATGTCATTTAGTTCTTCAAAATCGGTGATCCTTAGGAGGGTACCAGTTGGAGGGGCACGAAGAGCATTCCTTTCTAGTCTAGCAAGAGAAGATGAAACCTACTTCCAAGAAAATGAATATTCTTCTTCTGATTATAAGCGAGAAAGAAGAAGACATGACACTATGAAGAGGAAGCTGTAGTGAAGAATATGTTCTCTAGAGAGGTCGATGACATTTAAGCGCCAGAGAACTTTAAAAATGTAGCCTTGGATTCTCATTTGGGGAACTGTGATCTTGTTAATCAAATAGAGTAGTTTGATTTGGTGGCATGTTTGCTAAAGGTCAATGAAGTTTTGAAATATTATTAGAAAGATGATTAATATGTATGCATTATTCTTTCATTAAAAATTATCCTTTTAGTAATTTATAACTTACATATTTAACTAAATTTCATTAATATTTTATCTCTAAGTAATAATATAAAATAAATTGATTAGTTCTAATTTTCATTACAGATGGCACCTTAAGGTGGTGATGATCCTTTTCTTAGGTCATTCATCAATATTCTTCTAATGACGAAGGATAATTTAAGGACTCAAAGTATAACCAACACTACCAGCCACCATAACCCCCACAAAAATATATACAAGATTGCTTTGGAAAGATAAAATAAAAAATATACACTTGATTCTATATACATTGTTGCATGCTGATTCATGATGGTAGATTGATATTTAATGTCTTTGTGTTGTATGAAGTTCTAGCACACACAAATAATACAAAAGTATCATAAGAAGACACCAAGATTTTTTACGTGCCCTAGAAATGAAAAAAAAATATCATGAGGCCTAGCTTAATGAAAGTAATCCAATTAATGTTTGTGAGTACATGGGACCACTATTCTTCTGAATTGGAGAAGATGAAATTATGATGCTAATAATTACATATGTACAATAACAGTTTAGTTATAATAACTATCTCTGGGCAACAACAAATATGGTTCTTGGTTGTAATAACAATAGCTAGTAAAAAAGATAGTAGTTGGTTGCTATATTCAGCGGCCACAATAATAGCATATGACCATAAAAGTAATAGATTGTAGCTTTAATAATGTCAGTCGACCACAAATGAAAATAGTTGAAAGTTGTAGTAAAAATTAGTCATATAAACTGTAGTTGGTAACTACAATAACATCAATTGGTCATAGAGGATGTAGTGACAAATTACTATACTAACGACCATATTGGCCATAGTTGGTCATAAATTATAGTTGGTAGCTATAGTAGTGCGAATTTTTCATAGTGGTTATAGTTTGAAGTCGCAGTACTAGTTAGCCACATAAGTCATAGTTGGTCATATAGGTTATAATTAGTAATTGTAACTGTGTTAGTTGACCATAGATGCCATAGTTGGAAACTACAATAGTATTTAGCTATATAGGTTGTAAATGGTCACATAGTCATAGTTGGTAGTTGTAGTACCATCAATTGACCACGGAGGTTACTGTTAAAAATTACATTAGTTGTTAGTCACAAAAGTCATAGTTGATCATATAATTTTTTTATTTTACATAAAAATGCTATCATTTTAACTCTTAAAAAAAGAGATATAACCTTTTATGTATAGTTATAAGGTGTCATGGATGCAAAAATTGAAGTTTAGATATTACATCATAAGTAAATACATAGGAATTAAGTGGCATGTATGTAAATCTTTCAAAAAAAAAAAAAAAAAAAAATTTGGCAAAATACTAGGAATGCTCGACATATTTGAAATCTCCATTTACACAACGTGTCCTCGCCCCCACTTCTCTTCTCTTAGTCTCTCTTTTCCCTTTCTCAAATGGTGCCAGTGAATAACTCAAACCCTGCTACGTACATCTCCCCGGGGAAGATCACGTGCCCCGCTTCCTGTAGCACCACAACTACCCGCCACGCGTACGAACCCCACCCCTTCTTGTGTAAATATAAGACGGCCAACCCTGCATGGCTACCTATGTACCGCTAAAATACATACTCATAGGTTCTTTTATCATCTATCCCACTCTCTCTCCATTTGCTCTACTATTCTGGTATGGCTACAGAAATGAAAATCGAGAGGAAATCGTCCATAGAAAAGGAGCCCCTAACTCTATTTTTTGATCAGATACAGTACGCCAGGGTATCATGTTTAGTCTTTAGTTTGTCCTCCACATTTGATTCTCTAAACCACGTTTTCTTTTTTTTATTAATGATTTACACTTTATATGCATGTTTGAATCTGGTTGATAGATGTGTGTTGGTTGATTTGCTTTGGCTTTTTATGACAGGAAGCTGCTTTATATGTGCTCAGCACCAAGACGATGGAGGAGGCTCTCCGTATTTTTACTGAAGTGTGTTTCTTGTTTATGATAGATGTTAAATCAGGTTATTTTGTTAATGGAGTGGGATTTAATTTAAGTGGGATTTGGTAAATTGTATAAATTCTGATTTAATAAATCATTAGATGTTTAAATTTGTCTGTTTATGATAGATGTTAAATCAGGTTATTTTGGTAATCTTTTTCAAGACATAAGCCAATTAGTTGAAACATGAATTTAATAATATTTAAAAAAGATATTAATATTAAGAGGAATTAAATAATTTTGTTTCAATAAAATAACTCCCCCGATTTGACAGATCCTTCCTCTCCACCCGCTCGTGGGCTTCGCTCCGCTCCAACATCTGTCCTTTTTATGTTATATGAGTCATACTAACAATTTCATTCTTGTTTTTATTGAAACAAAAAATGAAATAAATACAATATGATTGTTTTATTACATTTAATAAATGCAAAATAATTTTATTTTAATTTAATTATAATAAAAAATAAAAAATTTATTTTGATAAAATAGTAAAATATGATTATATTTCAATGGAATCAAACAAAAAATTACGAAATGGATATTTCTTTATTAATATATACTTTTATTATGAAATTTACAATAAAATAGTTAAGTAAAAAAATTAATTTTTTGACTTATTTGATGATATATTACATGTTTTCAAGCCATATATGAATGAGTATCATTTCATCTAAACTAATAATTTACAGGGCAAGTTATCCATTATATTTTATTTAAAAAATATGATAAATTAAATTATTTTTTATTTTACTATTTTTTTTATACTATTTATTTTTTTCTATTTAATTATTCTGAACTCTAAACTAATAATTTACAGGGCATTTATATACATACCATCAGATTCTATCTAACACTAACTTTTTTTCTTACATTTAAACCCGTCAAATCTTTCATCATCATTTTAAATTTAAAAAAAAAATTTAAATAAGGTTGTATGCATGTATATTTTGAAGTTAAGTGTTTGATCTGTAATTACATAAGAATTTACTGGTATGTATGCAAATCTTCGTAGATTTAATATAATGTGATTATTTCTTATTAAATTGGATTTAAAGTTCATAAATTTAAATAGATTGGTTATTACTTAAGCAATTAAAAAAATTTACCATTATATGAATTCATTTGATATAAAATTTTTAAATTTGTGTAAGAATTAAGAATCCATTGGTGTTGAAGCAGAAGAATTTAGCAGTTCATAAAACAGTTCAAATCACATTATGAATATTAATCTAATAGAACTAAAAGAATCTCCAGGCTGCGGGGTATTTTTTATTTGTCTAATTTAAAATATGCTTTTAATTCTTAATCTTACGTTTTCCTAATACTCATAATTACAGTAATAAGCGGTTAATGTTTATTTAATTTTGTTTAGGGTTTGCAGCCGGTGCTGAAAATTAGCAAAAACGAGATGGAGATGGAAGATACGGATTTATCAGACCTCAACGGCGAAGATGACAGTTTTCTCCTTCTGGATGAATTCCATGACATCACTTCAGCACCTTTCTAATGAAGTTTTATATATAAAAATAATGTAAATCTGTCTTCCTCAAGCTTTGTCAGAAATATTTTTGGAGTTGAATAAACAGGAATGTAAATGCATATCAAAACAACACTCCCTTGACAGAAATGTCGGAAGCAGATTACATAACATGGGGGAGGAAATATAACACAGTGGTTGTCGTAGTTAAGATAATCCAATTATCAGTTGTAGTGTAGACTTTTAGCTTAAAATACTACTAGGAACTGTGAACAAATATTCTCAGATGGGTAGGGCTGTGTCCATATATCATGAAATGTTTTTTTCTTATATTGTCAGCCCCACCTCCAAATAGGAGTCGGTGGTTTAATGAACCTTTCACAAATCTAAGAATCCATTTCATTGTCATCCAATATATTCTTTTGGATTTATTATAAATCAACTGAAAAATTGTCACGACCCAGCCCACTGGTGATGAGTTAATCTAGTTGTCTCAAGAAATTATTTATGTTTTTACACATTTTTCATGTTTTAGGATAACAGTTATTTGAGTAAAGTTAGTGGTGCAGTTATGTCGTTAGTTTTTATTTTTAGAAAACGTGAGTGGTACAGTTATTGTGCTGTTATAATTTTGTATTTGTTTATATATTATGGAAAAGAGAAAATGGAATGTGTGTGAAGTACTAAAAAAAATTTTCCATTTTTCTTGGCATTTGAAGTTTGGCTTTAGAAAACCAAAATTTGGTATCAGAGCGAAGTTGTCAAAGAAATGGCCGGAAATGATAGAGATCCATCTAAGACACTTGCTGTCATCAAACTGACGGCAAGATGAACCTCAATTCCGATCCAATTTCCAACGGTAAGCGAAACGACCTACAACTTATGGACTGTCAAAATGAAGATAGTCTTGCGTTCGCTAGGAGTATAGTCAGTGATTGAAGGTGAAGAAAAATACGATGACAAAGATCAAGGCGCCATGGTAATCATTTCTCAAGCCGTGTCAAATGACGTGATGATGGTAATCGCGGAGAAATAGATGACAAAGGAGGCTTGGGAGGCACTCAGGGAGATGCGAGTCGGTGAAGATCGCGTTAAGAAGACACACATATAGGTGCTGAAACGGCAACTGAACAAGTTACACATGGAGAATTCAGAGACAATAAACAAATTTTCCATGAAGCTTACCACACTGGTGGGTGAGATTTGCTCACTGGGCACAAAGTTCGACGACAGTGAAGTTGTTGAAAAACTGTTCAGTACAGTTCCAGATAGATTTCTCCAGATTATTAGAACAATTGAGCAATTTGGCAATAGTGAGAAGATGTTGGTTTCAGAGACGATAGGTTGTCTCAGAACCTTCGAGGAAGGGCTTAAAGAGCGACTGCACTCAAAGGGCAGTGGAGAACAATTACTCCTTACCCAGGCCAAGTGGGAGGCAAGAATTCTAAAGGCAAAGAAAGATGAAGGTTCCAACAGTAACAAAAAGGGAGGACGTCACGGGAGAGGACGTGGTCGTGGACGTGGATATGGTGGAGGTCGAGGTAATGGTGAACGTACTAACGAAGACCAAAAGCCACATAACTTCAACAAAATCCAAGGTTAAGTGTTTCAATTGTAATGAATATGGTAATTTTTCAAAAGAATGTCCCAAACCAAACCGAAGAGAAAAAGCAAACCTTGTTACAACTTGTCAAACCTTGTTACAACGCAAACTGAAGATGAACCAGCACTGTTGATGACAGAAACTTGTGTTCTCAGCCACACAATACAGAACGAGCAGGTGTTACTGCCTGAAGACAAGGTGGTGCCAAAGATTAAAAAAACCCGAGAGAAAGCTTGGTATTTAGATACCGGTGCAAGTAACCACATGACCGGTTGTATCGAAAAATTTGCTAAAATTGACACAACAATTAATGGGTCGGTCAAATTTGGGGATAGCTCGGCTGTAGAAATCCAAGGAAGATGTTCGGTTTTGTTTGAAGGCTTCACAAGCAAACATCAAATACTTACTCATGTCTACTACATCCCGGTGTTGAAGAGCAACATAATAAGCCTTGGCCAGTTAGATGAGAACGGATGCAAGGTTGAGGTTAAGGAGATGTTATAACTTTTTTGGACAGATCACAAAGGCTACTAGCAAAAATAAACAGGTCAAACAACTGGTTATATATATTTAACATTGCACCAGCTCTCCTCGAATGCCTTCTGGTTATGAGCAAAGAAGAAGCATGGTAATGACATGCAAGATACGGGCATGTGAAATTTCTTGCTTTGAAGTTTCTAAGTCAGAAAAAGATGGTGCACGGCTTGCCCAAAATTGAGCATGAGGACCGCATATGTGATGGTTGTTTGATTGGAAAGCAACACCAAAATCCTTTTCCCTTTTCCAGCAGTGGCAAAATTGTGGCAAAATTTCGAGCAGAATCACCTCTTGAATTGTGGTGTGGCAGGGAGATTTGTGAGGCCCAATTACCCCTACTACTCACGGAGGGAAGTGTTATTTCTTGTTGTTGGTTGACGATTGTACAAGATTTATGTGGCAGGTGCCGATCTGAAACAAGGATGAAGCATTTGAGGCATTTAAGAAGGTCAAAGCTGCAGTCGAAATAGAGAAAAATAGTATGCTGAAAGCTTTGCGCATGGATCGTGGCAGCAAATTCACCTCAACTGAGTTCAAGACTTACTGTGAGCTGTTGGGAATTAAGCGTTATCTCACGGCGCCTTATTCTCCTTAGCAGAACGGAGTTGTTGAATGAAGAAATCAAACTATTGTCGGCATGACAAGGAGCTTGTTGAAAAGTATGGGAGTCCCGTACAAATTTTGGGGAGAAGCAGTATCAACTGTCGTATATATCTTAAATAGAGCACCGACAAAGAGCATCGTCGGCAAAACTCCCTATGAAGCATATTATGACCGCAAGCAAAGTGTCGATCATTTTTGTATTTTTTCGATTATCTTGCACATGTAAAATTAGTTACACCGCACCTTTCGAAGTTGGCTGATCGTAGCAAGCAAATGGTGTTCATTGGTTATGATATGAATACGAAAGGCTATCAAATGGTCGATCCAAAGACAAGACGAGTTGTGGTCACACAGATGCAGTGTTTGAGGAGGAGAAGAAGTGGGAGTGGAGCAAATCTCCAATAACAGGTGCAGGATCAGCAGGGAAACCTCTTACAACACATTATTTTACCATAACAGGCGCATCTGATACGATAAATCAGGAAGATAAAGAGGCGTTCAACGATTATGGTATTGGTATCAGCAATTCTGATATGGATTTCCCACAGCCGACACGGGAACAAACTGGTAACCAATACCAGCATGCTTCACCAGGATGAACATGAGATCCAACACATCTGTTTTAGACCCTGATTCATTGACACCACACACTACAGATACAACTTTTGATGCTCTTGATGGTTCGACCTCGACAGATGTAGTGCAACCCACAACATCTGATGAGAGTTCATTAGAAGGACCACGGGGTAAGCGTGACATCAAAAGCCTTTACGATGAAACCTTCCCAATAGAATTAGAGTATTCAAGACTGTTTTTGCTAGGAGAGGAGGAGCCATCAACTCTAGAAGAAGCCAAGGCATACCCGATGTGGAGAAAAGCAATGGAGGAGGAAATTTCTTCCATTCAAGGGAATGAAACTTGGAAGCTCGTCCCATTATTCGACGACCACAAACCTATAGGTCTAAAATGGGTTTACAAGCTAAAGAAGGACAGTCAAGGCAGAATTGTGAAGCACAATGCAAGATTAGTGGCAAAGGGATACGTTCAACGACAAGGCATAGACTTTGATGAAATTTTTGCTGTCGTTGCTCGGCTAGAGATAGTACGTTTACTGCTCTTTATTGTGGTACATGAACGATGTAAGGTGCATCATATGAATGTGAAGTCAGCCTTCCTCAATGGTGATTTGGAAGAGGAAGTGTATGTCACTCAACCGAGTCACTCAACTGTCGGGATTTGAAATAAATGGAGAAGAGCACAAGATGTTAAAACTGCACAAAGCATTGTACGGTTTGGAACAAGCACCTCAAGCCTGGAACTCAAAACTGGACAAGTCATTGAGGACACTCGGTTTTGAGAAGTGTTCTTTAGAGCATGACGTGTACATGAGAAATCAAGGTAAAAGGATTTTAATTGTTGGAGTCTATGAGGATGATTTAATCATCACTCTAAAGTGTATTCAAGACATAGATAAGTTCAAATCACAGATGAAGAAATTGTTTAGCA